ATTTTTAAATTGCGACATTGTTAGAAAACACAAAAAGCATGAAAGTTGATTTTCTTAAGTTGATGTTTTTGATGTGACTAAATCTTACTTATATTATCAAAGCTAATGTTTAGATAGATGGATGGATCGATGGATGGAGGGATGGTTTGAATGTATTTCCGGACAGGCTGCATGGATCTCGCTAAAACTTGGTATATGTGTCATAGTCTAGAAGAACACATAGACTTCTGATTATGTTTATATTTAATTCCACGCAGAAGTAGTCGCGGGCGACTGCTAGTATTTAATAATAACAATTAATGTCCAAATTCAATCATCGTAAACTAAACGTATTTCCCTTTTAATTTTTGTAAAGAGATAAAAAAGAAATAAAGCACAAACTTTCGACTTTAATATTTTATTTAGATTGGAAAAAATATAATATTATATTACCAGTGGAATAAATATACAGATTAAAAATGCTACAGATAACATATTTATTTGTATGAATCAACGGATGTGCTGATAAAAGCTTGTCATGTAAATATTGATTAGTGTATAATAATATGTTTTGTTGACACGATTACATCATAAGTGTGTAACTACCTTTATCGATCGATCGATATCTAGTTCCACATGCATCAAATTATATTGTCGTCACTTTCATTCTCATGGAAAAAACAGAGATAATATTCTGTAAGATGTTTTGCCAGAGTAAACACCCCTTTACCTATGTATCTCCGTCTATCATCCATTCATTTCGTAATCCATTGGCTGGTATCTATGAGAGACATAATCGAGATGCCTCTGTTCGGCATTCAAAGCAGTCGTTGTATGTGGGTCAACGGCGACAATAGATTGTGCTTATAAATACATATTACAGTTTTCGCAATAACATGGTTCACTAAGATTCGCTTAAAAAGATGAAATTTTCTTTATTAAAAACTAGCTGTCGCTCGTGAGGTACAAAAAAACTTAAATAGTTAGCCTATGTATTCTTCCAGGCTATGTTCTACATTTATGCCAAATTTCAGAGAGATCCATAAAGCCGTTCTCGAGATACCTTTAAAGAAACATACATCCATCCAGTCAAACATTCGCATTTATAATATTAGTAAGAGTAAGATAAATGTAGCCTATTAGTTTGTCCTAAATGCAATTAGTTTGAGGAACATTTATTTGAACAGGTTGACCTTGTTAAATAAACAGTACATCAACCCCTGCTTCCGACGAAAAAGTTGCGCTAAAACATTTTACCGTTAGGCGCCATTTTACAATGTTTACAGCCGATGTTTGTCTGATCCTGTTAAAATCTTGTATATGCCATCGATAAAAATGTACACTATGCCGGTGTACTGGCACAACACTAGCCTAACTAAAATGGCGACATCTATGTCTCCTCACTAATCATTCTGACACTTGACTTTGCAATGTAAGCGCGCCATTCGCGCCAAAGGATTGTAATTGATAAATGTCTAAAAGTATAGTGATCCGTAGAGAGCGTAGTATCTTTGATTTGATTTGAACAGATGTTTTTTATACACATTTAATGAAAAAATCTTGAATTAGAATGATCTGTTGTTGACACACCCCGACTAAGTGGAACAAACAACAAGTTCTTCAAGCCGACAACACCAAGCCGACTTGCACAATGTCTTTGTGAATCCGCTTCATCTGACTTTCTCTTTTCATTGTAATTATTATTGCACTTAGATATTGAAAGCTTTCATACATTGAAATTTTAATTCAGATTTCTCTCATATTTCTTTGAAATTTATTCAACATAATTGTCGATAATATAATAATTGCCTTTTAAACAATACGAAAGAAATTACAACGTATCAATTTAAAAAAGACATTTATGGTCAACGGTTGCAAATATATTCTATAACAATGTAGGAATATTTTAAAGGTTATACAAAAAAAATATAATAATTCCTTCGGACTTTAACACCTAAGAAATAAAAATTTTATGTTCACTTTTAAATTTTTGTTTGTCTATTATTTATTAATATATCATTATTATTGACGTAGACTGTTGTGATACAAACTGGAATAACACGTCTAACAATCATGATGTATGACGTCACAAGATGCATCACAACCACAAACAAGATAGTGTTTAAACGAGCACAGATCATGCCAGTGGAATAGGCTCTAACGTCCCGGTCACATTAACAAACGGAAGCGAAGCGGAATCGACATTCGAATGTCCATAATCACGTGTAGTACGTATGTCTTATCTCGTAATGTTGGTAGGCAGCTGCACAAATAACACGATGGTCCGCTGTAATACTACGATCACACAGAAAACAGTCATAGAGTGCTAGTAATTCCGCGTTTCGTTCAACGACTTTGTGTGCCGGAGGCCAAATTATAGTCCCTGTTTCGTAGTCTCTTCCCACCCTTTTCTCATAAAGGAAAGGAGATTTGAGGAGAGGATGTATAATAAAGAAATATACCATTCTGTGCATCCTCTCTTTGGTCCATTAAAGATAGCGCACCTTCCACCTTCCAACTTTCAACTGTTTTCCAAGCCGTTTACACAAGCTTAATACGTGAATCCGAAGTGAGATTCGAATTAAATTCCGTCTCGCTTTCGTATGTCTATGTGATCGGGGCGTTAGCGGTTTACCACATTGCTCGAACGCCGAAACAAACTCTTTTCTTATTATTTCTTATGCTCGTATAACGTTTTTAAATATCGCATCGAATCGTATTCTCGGAACGATTGCTGTATTTTACGAGGGCGAATTATGGCGCGTCGCACGGGTTTAAAGTTGCCGCAAAACGGGTACAAAATAAATCCTTCATCAATAAAGTTATTACATTTTGTAAAATGTTAAATAATTTATCAAATAATAATAATAGTTTAATAAAAATTTTTAAAAACATTACAACTGGACTGGTTCTTGCTATGTGTTAGATCGATTTTTTTTTAAAATAAAACTGATACATTTTAAAACTGTACCCTAACGTCTATACAGTGAACAGATTGTCCATTTATGTTGTCCCCAAAAAAAAACTTCCAAGTGCCTATTAAGAATGAAGATATGTTTAAGATTATCATTGTTATTAGTATTATGATCATGTCTACGTACTGTATCACAGACGCTATAAGCCAACAAGTCACGTGTTTAAACCTTTTGATATTGCTATTTATAACGGCCCGAGTACAGCGCATTAACCTCGTCTTTATGCGTTTGTTTTACAAGAGGTTACCGACGGATCGGTTTAACATTTTTTTATATCATCCATGTTCTGTTTTGAATTTTATTACATTCGATTAGGTTAGGAATGTAATAAATTGCTTTTTAAAACAAAACAGTTGAATAGTTGCTGCCTAACAGATATTTGCGGCCATTATTAAAATAATGTAAAAAAAAACAATATACTTATTGCATTATTATATTATTCTTTTATGCATTATTACGAACTTTTTTAATCAATTAGCGTAACCAACTCCGAATATAATAAACGTGAGTGAAACGGAACGTTAATGTGTTTTTAATTCGCGAACTTTTTATTTATGAGAGCCATTAGGAAGCCGAGTGGAGTGATTCACTTATTAAATCACATTTTTTTCCAATGTTTAAAGGCTAAGTTAATCATTATAACCTTAAGGAAATATATTAATAGTTCTACAAGTTGTTTTCATAAGATTATACAAAAAATGGCAATAAAACCTAAAAAAAAAAACTTTTTTTCGTGCAACAAAACTGGTCCATCGTGGCATTAAATATATTTATTTTTTAGGAGATTTAAAGTTATCCACGAAAAATAGGTTTACTCTGATATTGTCAGAATCTAGCACTTAAATATTACGTCATTAAATTATCTTTAAGTAATGAATATTAATAAAGATCTTCCTAACAATCGGTTGGCAACAGTCGTGAGCAGATCGCGGTCGGAGGCGCGGGCGTGTTATGCCAAACATTTCCGGCGAGGTTTATTGAAGGCTGTACACGTTACATCATTTAATTAAATACTAGTTTTTTTTATCTGTGATACACTTTTTGAATCGATAAAATAAACCTTACATATCAATTTATTCAATTCACGTCTGAATGAGACTTGATATTGAAAAATCTTACAAAAGTTTTAGTTTAAGAGTTTAAAAATTGTCTATACAACTTTCTAACATAAAAAGCAATAAGTAAACCGCCACATAAAACGTTTTACAAGCACTTTGTAATTGCATTGATTCATTGTATTCCGGATATTGAGTAGGTTTTTTAATCTGTCGGTACTCAATCAATGGAAGTCTCTCATGACACACTAATGCGTGGTAATAGTGACACACTTAAGCGACTCTCTAGTTCAGTGTTTACCAAACTTTTTTTCGACGAACTCCTTTACTACAGGCCGGTGATAAAGAAATATTGTCGCCATTTTTCCGTAGTATAAAAGTCGAAGTGCCGTGACTCCCTATTAAGTTTGCGCGACCCCCAACGGGGTCTTAAAAGTTTGAAAAACACTGCTTTATATAACTTTATACGACGCGTTAATTAACAAAGCAATAATCACATTATTATGTACTAAATAAAGGAATTAACACATTATTGTGTGAGTTAATAATCTTAAGTTTTTCATCATACTACAGATAAAAAACTGTTTTGGTTGCAAATGTTTTGATCATTATTATGCTAGGAAGTTATATTCTTGTGGTTTTAAAGGATGACGCTAAGCAGGAAGGATTGTTTGTTAATTCAGTTTTTATATGAACACAAAAACTGTGGGTTTTTTTAAGCATATGCATATGTATGGTTATGAATTTATTTTGGTAGGAACTCTTTTAAATTTTTAAAGATTCAAAATGAGACCCATGATATGTCTGCAAAAGTCCAACTTTACACGTTTAGTTAATCTGACGTCATTAAAGGCATATGTACTAAAGCAATCTCGAAACCGCTTAATATTCTTCAATAAACAATTAACATGTTACTATTTTCGTGTAAAATTAATCTAATATTATCTACCAATATTGAATGATGTCTTATGAGGTTTTATTATCTTTACAGTTAACGGAAGAAGTGCAGAGAAAACAAAGCGACTATCAAAAGTGTCTGGAATCATACAAACAAATGAGGGCTAAGTTCGAGGAGAACTACCTTAAATGTAAGTGTAAGTTTTACCTTTATTATTATTACACAATATTAATAATAATTGAATTATTACCTGTTGGGTATAGGGTGTTCAAATTCCGCATACTTGAAACAATTTGGCCCCATTTTTTATTTGTATTCTTCAGGAAAAAATAATGAAAATAATGACCTGGTTATTTCTATCTGACATAATAGGATTAGATATATATGTAGTATATTGTATAATTTTTATATTATAAACATCAACTGAAATGTAACAATAATTGGGAAAATGCGCAGATGAAAGAAACTCATTTAATCAAGTAATATGTAGCTTGCTTAGAAAAAGGCATAGAAAATAACTATAATGTGATCGGTAACATTGTAAAGAGAAAAGATTTATTATAGGTACAACAAAGAATAATAAAGAATCAACAGCTCCATTCCATTCAAACAGTGTCTTCAAGGGCAAAGGTAAAATTTGTGAAAGAGTTTTACTAAGACATTTTGATTTAAACATCATAACTTTAGATAGAGATAAACTAAAATTTAGATTTTTAATCTATTATTAGTGCGTAATAAATAGTAAAGTACGTAGTATACAGCTTTGTAAACGTAGCTTTTTTTAAAAAAAAAACAACTAAAATTGTTGATGTTTACATTAATTAAATTAAATCAGTAGCTATTTATTGTATAATGTTTGCCCGTTGTTTTGTACCATTGCACGGATACAAGTGCAAGATATCATGAATTAATGACGTCACTGGCGCCACTGGAACATTATTAGTTCCACAGCGGAGCTATTTATCAAACCACCTACGCGTAATGTTTTACTAAACACCCTGTAGCTTGTAAGTTGGAGTATCTATAGGTAGTGGATGCTATTAATGGACCAAAAACGAATTGAGTGCGATTATTAGATACAAATGATATAACTTTTTAAATACATAAATAACATTTTTATAAAACTACATGCTGTTGCCTCCGACTCTGCCTGTGCGGGATAAAAAATTAATTAGTAACCTATGTGTTCTAGATTTATGTTCTACATCTGTATCCAATTACAAAATAGATAGTAGTTGATTATCAAACCTACTGAATACGCGTACAAAATTTCATAAAAATCGGTCAAAACGTTTCGGAAGAGTATGGTAATTAACATTGTGACGCGAGAATTTATATATAAAATTCTCGATTAGGTGTCGCCCACGATTCCGTCCACGCGGAATTATAAAAAAATTAATAAGTAACTTATGTGTTTACCAGACTATGTTCTACATCTATGCCAAATTTCAGCTAGATCTATGCAGCCGTTTTGGAGATACCTTCAAACAAACATCCATCCATACATCGAAACATTCGCATATATAATATTAGTAAGATGTTCATAGCTAAGCCATCAATTTTATCGGACTTATACTATATGTCCATTTACTGTATACAATTAAATTTCCAATTTAACTGTAACATAAAAGTAGAAATCCGCCAATTACATAGAGATTGAATGCGGCTGCAACATGACTATTATATGTAATATCCTTTAGTACACCATCATATACTCAGTTTAAACCCGTTATGTATTTAAATTATATACAAACACACTAATATTCCCCAGTTAATCTAGTAGTCTTGATTACGCGACTATAAGTCGACTACACAGAATCGAGTTGATGACTCTCTGAACATAAAGAGATATTAATGTTATTTACCCGTTTTGAACATGTCGTATTATAATCGTATACTGTATATAGGATGTGTAATGAAATGGCAGTTATTTATTTACAATTTTTATATAATAAACTTCAACTATGTTATGTTATATATTTATTGCTTCTATATTTATATATTTTAGTCTATATGTGGTCTATATGTAACAGGAAACAAATGGACTATTTTACTTATGTACTTAAGTACAGTCGAATCTGGATAAGCGAGAAGACTTTGTAAGCCAGAAAATATTGCATTCCCTTAGAATCTTGCTTATCCTAGGTTCGACTGTAATATTATCAATGTGAAATTTTATATGAAAAGATAGATGGATTTTTATCTTCAAGAAAGCTAAACAGATATATCTGAAATTTAACATCGATGTAGAGCATAAGCTATATATTAAGTTTTTTATTCCGTGCGAACGAATATTCGGGAGAACGCTAATTTGTCATATTTACTAATCTTCTGTAATTATAACGTAACCATAGATCTTAACCACAGTCATTGAGTTTTTTTAATCGAATTTATTGTAACGATTTTTTTTTTTGAAAACTTTTCACTGTAATATCTTTAACTCCTAGACATTCGTATGACGTACAGATGTTATGGTTTTGACAATGAACACCAGAATCTATAACTAAAGTCGATAGAATGTGGGTAATGAGAATATCGCATTCATATTTGAAATGTTAGATCAATAACCTTGATCCAATAAAGTGTCCTGAGCGCTTTATGACAGGTTTGAGGTTAAGAGATATTTACAACATAAATAAATTCCAGGTCCGACGAGTAGGGGTGGTCGTAAGTTAGACGAGACACGTGACAAGTACAGCAAAGCATGTCGGAGGCTGCATCGTGCACACAACGAGTATGTGCTACTGTTGGCTGAAGCGACGGAGTGCGAGCGGGCGCTCAGGACTGCCGCATTGCCTTCACTATTGGACCAACAAAAGAGACAAGGAGAGGCGACAGCGGCTACATGGTAGATATTTGTTAATTTTACTAATCTCTATAAATGGATAGGTCATTGTTAATGACAGATTTTGCCAAGTTCTGACTTAAATGCGTCTGTTGATGTCCGCTACAAACCACATCCATCAACGCTAAAATGGCGAAAATCAAATAGGCACAAATTACCTTGTATATGTAGCCTACCCATTTCTAGATTGGTTAATTTGCTAAAAATCGATTTATGTTAAATCGTCCCATCCGTCGAAAAAATAAATCTCTTTAAAGGATCACAAAGATTCTATCTATTTTAGTTGATGTTGCATACTTTAATATATCAGAGTTAATTAAATCAAAAAGCAAATTACATCGGACATGTTAACTTAAAACATTAACACATTTTTATGGCAACATTAAATACATTTCAAGGAATTAACTAATCACCGACTGCTGTGCGGGCGTTATCTTTTATATCAACACGACTTTATTCTAATTCGTGTTGTCATAAAAATATTACGATCACATTTTTAATGTCCCTACAAAACGGTAAATTTAAATACAACATCCAAGTATAATAACAAGAAAAATTGTAAATAATCTAAGATTGCTAAGGAAGGAATCTATTCGAGATTTATAAGTATACTAGCGGACCCGACAGACGTTGTCTGACAAATTGACACTGCGATGGTAGCGCCGTCTGTCGGATCCAATGTAAAACATTCCAAAATCAACAACTACTAATAAATTAAAAATGAATTAAAAAAACATGGTCCAGCGGACAAAATTGTGAATCTAAACCATTTCCAGATCTCCTTGAACACATACAAAAAATTTCATCAAAATCGGTCCAGTCGTTTGAGAGAAGTTCAGTGACATACACACTCACAGAAGAATTATATATTTAAAGATTTAAAAATTGAATGCGCAGTATGTGTGTCAATTCAATCTTTACTTCCGCGAATGTTTTATATTGAGTACTTTACATATATAAATATTTGCTTTCAAGTCTATTCGATGTAAAGATATTAAAATCATATTTATTTGTATTTCTTATTTACTTAAACCACATTTGTTAGCAACAATAATGAACATGTGGATAGCGTTGTTAATTTTATGATTAATCGCTTTGTTTCTATAATGCTGATTACACTTATTTATTGACCTGAATATAATGAAAAGAAAATATTTATACCTACTATACAGTGTGTTTTTGTTCGTGTAAAAAAATATTTCCACCTATGTGACGTAAAGATCATATCTATCTGTAGATATAATCTATTAAACAGTGGTAGAGCCGGCTTTAACATCTTCGCACGAATTGGCCCGGCTCGCCAGGTGAAATACCACGACCACACAGAAGCCAGACGTCAAGTGGAAGCAATTCCGCGTTTCGTCTGATGAGTGTGCGTCCCGGAGGCCTATTTTAGTCCTCTTTCCTCTTCCCATCCGTTATCTTATAAGGAAAGAATGGGAAGTGGAAGTGGACTTTCCGGATGAGAGGATGCATGGGAAGGGAAAATATGTTCTTTCTGTGCATCCTCTCCTCAGTCGATTAAAGGTAGGCAAAGCATATGCAATTGTGTATGTCCATGGGCAACGGTCAGTTCGCTATTTCAGCGATTTCAGGTGGCCGCTCGCTCGTTTGCCACCTTATGATATATAAAAAAAAGCTCTAACCAATAATCGTTGGTTTCTGAGACTTAAATCTCTATAAAACATATCGCTATCCCCATCATTATCTTTGTCAAAACAGCGATTACAATATATTTAAATCGTGGATTTTGGTCTCAGAAACCGACGGCAAGAGATGTGCTTATTCTTTTTCTAGTATTGGTCGATTTTTGCTCTTTTAACATCTGATACGAGTATGATTACTTAATAATAAAATATAATAATTATTAACAGGAAGGCAATACTCTTGGAGGTGGTGCAAAGATCCGACTTCAGTACGGACAAATTCCGCGAGATCACCAGCAAAGTGGAGACGACCATACAAAATCTCAAACCCCAAGATGAATACAAAGAATTCATGGAGAAATACAAGTAAGTTAAATATTACCCTTTCAAATTAGTTTTCTAAAAGTGGTCAAAGTGGACCACGGAAGACCTGGCGGGGAGGGGGGAAGGATGGAGGAAAATAACGTGCAGAAGTAACAGGATAAATACAGTAAGAGGTTCAGCGAAGTTAGTCTATTTTTATAAGAGTATACGAGGAAATTTCTTATCTTAAATATTTGTACCTAATAATTAGCATTAGTATTAGTATTTCTTATTATTCTAGATCACCGCCCTCAACACCAATAACATTTACATTCGACGAGAGCCTAGTTGAAGATACGAGTGGTAAACTCCAACCGAACCAACTAACAGTTGACAATCTCACTGTTGAATGGTTGAAAGAGAAGCTGACCGAACTGGAATCATCATTACAAGACAACAGAGAGAAGCAGACAGCGTTACACGGCCCGGAGATCATAGGCAATGGTATCTGCAAGAATAATAATAGTGGTTCACAGTCCGGTATCAGCAATGGGGTCAATGGCATCGATAGGTATGTTGAATTTAGCCTTAATAAGTTAAAGTCAAGAAAGAAAAGCATTTATTTAGGGTTAAAATAAGTTTGACGGCTGGAACCTAACAAAGAAAGATGCCAGCAACGAATTTCTTGCACGAATGTGTCCCTCGCCCAGTGCGATAACACGACCACACAGAAGACTGGCATCAATTGTAAGCAATTCCGCTTACAGTGTGATGAGTGTGGTGCCGGGGGTCTAATTTTAGTCTTCATCGTCTTCACAACCTTTTCGTGTAAGGATAGATTGGAAGGGAAAGTGGATTGTACACAGGGGGGACTCAAAAAAGGGGAAAAATTCTCGACTTCATTCATTAACATTTGCTACTTTATTATGTGTTTATGAATACCTATAAAAAGTCTTAAACAGTTAACTATATTTCTTATAAAGCATTTAGCATTTTTTCTTTTATGGTGGTGTGTTGGTGCAGTATTCGATTTATCAGGGATTGGACACTAAAATTGGTCATTGAAATTATCTTATTATTCTATATACAGGCATTCGCCGCCACCTATACCAGTGACGTCATCAGAGCCGACGAAACTTCTGGAACTCCGAGTGGTGGAGCGTAAGTGCGCGCGCCAGGCGGAACTGATCCGGACCGCGCTGGCGGAGCTCGGCTGCGAGGAAGCGCCCAGCGGCTGTCCTGATCTCTCTGCTGAGACTGTCGGCGGAGACAGCCTGGATGGAAGCTCTCCAGACCACCAGGTATACTGAACCTCCGTGATTATTTAAGACTTAGATTTAGCAGACTAATATGTTCAAATACTTATTGAAAGTCATAAATATTCTATTAAAAATGTTCATGTTAAATTAGAGATAAAAATTTCCATTACATAAAACGCGAAGAAGATAGGAATCACGATCAGATATTAAAATCGGGTTTATCATAAAAAGCTGTAATCAAAAAATATATATTTAAATGTGTGGTAAGTATTTTGTTTGGATCGGTTCAATCGAAGTGTTTTTTTTTTCTCATTTTAATAATTAAAGTGTACTTGTTTACCATAAACATGTTTTCAATTTGTTCTGGTGTGGTAAATATAAACCAATTATAAGTTTACCTTTATACTTTTTGTGTTATTATTGATATCGCACCACCTTACATGTAACTTGTAAAATGTGGTACAAAAAGGTATCGAGCATAATATTTTTGTATCATTAGCGTTGCTATTGGCTCCTGATTTATAGTTCAAGGTTTGCCTTTCACCTGTATATTAATGTAAAATTACAGAACTTCTTATACAGACAATTTAAAATATAATACATATTCGTTATTGAAGATATTCTGAACAAGTAATATAATATTTTGGATCAATCAAATAAAATCCCGAAATTATCAGGATCGTTCATCGTTGGGGTCTAAATCGTCGGTGGACGCGTTGCGGTTGCATCTCCATTCTATAATCCCGCCGAGGCCCTTCTTCAAAATGTTCACGAGGCCCTTTAGACGCAAGTCGGTGCCCTCGAGCCCGGCCCTACCGCCCAAAACGTACCGGAGTAGCAGTGAAGGGCCCGCAGACACGGTAACCATGGCCCGCCGCAGCAAGCGGATCAGGGTCCTGAAGAGACGCTTGAGGAAGCGAGTGGATGTCTATGTGCATTGTCGTGTCCAAAACAATAGTCTCAGGAAGAGAAAGAAGCGTGTTTGTAGTTGCCCTAACAGCGTGGTGAGTGACACTAACGCACTAAGGCTGTGTACACATTAAACGTATAATCATGGCTGACTTGGAGCTACAAAGTGAAAGTCAAATTGTAATGCATTTTTACTTAACGAAGATACTATCTTAGTCGGTCGCTGACGATAAGTTTAGTGTGCACCCGGCCTAATGCATGAGCCTGCCACTCACGCCGGAGTGCCTGCGTCACGTCGCGTCGCTCTAAATATACCGGCGTGACACGCTGCATCCTACCACAGCGAACTTCGCGCACTGGAATAAGCTTTCGTTTTTAAAATAGCACCACATCGCTCCCAAACATACATATTCAAAATCAAGGTGAATCTCGTAAACGCTCGACGGTTGTTTATTCTACAGCAAAGTCGGAAAGTTTTTCTATTTCACAATTTTTTATCTGTGGTTCTTGTTAAAGGTTGATTTCTCTTGTGTAACGTAGTCTGCGAATTATGGATCCGTTCTCTATGTATATAACTCAAGCTGATTTGTTGCCGCCGATTATAATTCCTCGAAGGAAGAAGCGCTTGAAACAACTTCGGTTAGAGTTTGAGAAGGAGGCCGTAGGTTTTGAATGTTTTATTTGTGTGCGTTCGCTTGTCTATTGTTTTGTGCATGATATAATCATCGATGTTTGTGTTCGCGTGTAAACATTGACCTACACTAATATAAACTTTAATACAATTAAAAATATGAAAAAAATAATGTGTTATTTTGCGAGATGTTTTCCAGGTATTTGATGAATAAAATGTTAATATAGGAAATTATTTTATTAGTTTTTAATTTGCGTACGTTTCGGGCACACAGATATAGTGACCGCCTACTTCCTGCGTGTTTAACCTTATCCGAAGCACGTGGATTGCTCGAAATACAGTTTTATATGAGTCATTACTTGTTTCCCGAAGCAGGCAAAGTGAAGCGAAAAACAAACTGCATTCCATGTTAAAATAAAAAGCACCAGTTTGATCACACAAGGAATTTCGGTTGATCACGCATGTCTTAACATTTTTAATTTTGTTAAGTTTATTTTTTGTAATTTTTGATAGCATAAATGCAGTTTACATACGTAAAGTTACATTTTACACTCAAGTAATAATTTCCTATGTCCCATTATTAGCGAAAATTACTGAAAACAAGATTATTTTAAACAAAAATCAATAATCGACAGCCCTGCGATTTAAAAACACATCGATTAACAACCCTATAATAATCACAATTTATGTCAATACGCAGGTGAGCGTGAGTGAGACGGAGCGATCGCTAGTGGAACAAGAATGGTTCCACGGGGTGTTGCCTCGCGAGGAGGTGGTGCGCCTGCTGCGAGCGGACGGGGACTACCTGGTGCGGGAGACGACGCGCAACCACGCGCGACAACTCGTCCTCTCCGTCTGCTGGGGGCAACACAAGCACTTCATTGTGCAGACCACACCGGAGGTCAGTGATATCATGAATTTCATATATTCTCGTATACGAACACGCTATCAAAATGAGACTGATAGCAACATTATTATAACAGTGGAGATCCACCATTATACTATTGTTTCATCATCCATCTTCAACTCTCGTTTGAACTTGCATTAATAAATACGTTGTATATTTTGTAGGAAATGTATAATTTGTTTTGTGATGTTAAGATCCTCATATTAAATAAGGATACGTAATAGCAGTGCCAGTTTTCGCGGTACCAGAGACTTTTTGGGCGTCTCCCTTTTTACCATGCCTTTGTACACCACAAAGGGTTACGTGGGACTGAGCAACAAATTCATAAGGTTTTAGCAAACGGAACGGAGAGACAAACCAACAAATTTACAAATAATTCATGTATTTCCAGGGTCACTACCGTTTCGAGGGTGCTGCATTCCCTTCAGTGGGCGAGCTGATAGCGTGGCAGCGGGCAAGTGGTGTGCCAGTCACCGCGCGCTCCGGAGCTCTGCTCCGCCGCGCTGTGCCGCGAGAGACGTGGGAACTTAACAACGACCATGTCATATTATTGGACAAAATCGGACGGGTGAGTTGTTTTTTTTTATTGTCGTGTGCATGAGTGTTCTATTAACAATAAATAATGATAGATTTTGTGTGTTTTAATATTTAATTATAAGTTGTATAATTCAAATTACTAAATGTTTTTTGTCCTTGAAGTGAAAGAAGAAGAACTACCCATGTTCTTTCCCTTCATAGAAGCTGAATGGAGTGAATGTTTTTGTATTTATTCAAGAAAATTTATCCAAATATGGTTTTTGGCTTTAAACTAGACACTACGTTAAAAAGGACAAATTAAAAAAATTAAAGTCATCCATCAGTAACTTTACTAATGTAATTAACTTAACTTTTTAGGGTAACTTCGGGGACGTGTACAAGGCTCGTTTGAAGACGACGGGTCAGGAAGTGGCGGTGAAGACGTGCCGCGTGGCGCTGCCTGAGGAACAGAAGCGCACATTCCTTCAGGAGGGCCGCATTCTAAAGCAGTACCAACATCCCAACATCGTCCGCCTCATCGGCATCGCCGTGCAGAAGCAGCCCATCATGATCGTCATGGAACTAGTACCGGGTACGTAAAACTTATACCATTAACAATGCGTTTTAAATAAGAACGCCGTATTATGTTATCGTATCTAAAATTGAATAAATAAGGAGAAAGAGGACTTAAATGTAAACAAAATAAATCTTAATTTCTTATTTGTATATGGTACTTTATAATAACTAAACAGTTTTATTAAAAATAGTTTTTTTTTAAGAATGAGAAATGTTAGTGATATAATAAATGCGAAAGTTAGCATGTATGAATGTATGTTTGTCGTGTCAGGCGGGTCCCTGCTGACGTTCCTGCGCACGCGTGCGGGCGCGCTGAGCTCGCGCTCGCTACTGGCGATGTGCCGGGACGCGGCGGCCGGCATGCGCTACCTCGAGTCCAAGAACTGCATCCACCGCGACCTCGCCGCCCGCAACTGTCTCGTCGCCGACGACCACACCGTCAAGATCTCCGACTTCGGCATGTCGCGCGAGGAGGAGGAGTACATCGTCTCCGGGGGAATGAAGCAGATACCCATCAAGTGGACCGCACCCGAGGCGCTCAATTTCGGTAACGGATCTTCTTATATTGCTTGTTAAAAGAAATTTTAATTTAAATGAAAAAATGTCTTTTTAGCCTTATGACGAAAATAACTAAATACTTTACATAGGAATAGACATGTAGTCTAAATAATTCGTATTTGCTATAAAATAAAAGTCAGTTGATATTATTCGCTTGGAAAAGGTTTGAAAAATAAATAACCAGTTTTTTTCATTTGTTATTTATATAATGATTCCTGTTTGAAGGCAAGTACACGTCGCTCTGCGATGTATGGAGTTACGGAGTGCTGATGTGGGAGATATTCTCTAAGGGCGACACTCCCTACGCCGGAATGAGCAACTCGCGCGCTCGGGAAAAAATCGACGCCGGTAAGCACATTTTTTTTTATATTACAAGGTGGCAAAAGATATATTTCCTCTTCCTCTGCCTGCCCTGAGCAGGGGCCCTCCATAACATCCGCTTCCCCTTCCCTTCCTTTTCCTTATAAGAAAAGGGTGCGAAAGGGAATTAAAATTAAGCCTCCTCATATTTTTCTGTATTATGGCGAGAATTATTCTATAACTGGTCAGACTATATACTTATTATACGATATATACTTATGCGTAAAAAACTTATTCCAGGCTACAGAATGCCGGCACCTGACGGTTGTTCCGAGGACGTGTACGCTCTGATGCTGAGGTGCTGGGAATACGAGGCTGACAAGCGACCGCATTTCCATCAAATATACACCATTATTGACAACATTTACAACAGGTAACAGATTCAGGAACACAGCGATGGTAATTATAATGAAACATATATCTATCAACTAATTTGAGTCTATTTCAAAGACTAAAATATCAATTTTAGTATTTCCAAATAGATCTTACTTTTTAAAAATCAATAATAGTGAGTATCCACTGCATTTGTGTCATAATATATATAATATTGCCATCCTTGTCAATCTCTTTGAAGAAAAGAGAGATAGCAATAGTGTTCGACATTTGAAATACAATAAAATTGAAGATTAAAAACAATGAAATAAAAATTCTGTAGTTGCTTATTTAACTCTGGCTTTCCAATTTCCAAACATTTATTAAGAAATATTGTCTTTGCAAAATTAGGGATATAAATGATTACGTTTAAAAGTGTTTCGATTTAAATTTTTTATCAATAATTTTCTATATTTGTACATTTATAATTAATTATAAGTTATTTTATATTTGTAAATAAATTTTGTGTTACCGTCGTGCGTGTAATGACTCGGTATTATTTCTATTTGATATTATACGTAATGTAACAGACAATTTAGTTTTCTATTTATTTTAGCGATTGTATATAATAATTACCTGAATTTTATGTCAATTATTATATTCAATGTGTTTAACGGTTAAGGTCTGTTGCAACTTATTTTTTTTGGAAATGTAAAAATTAATCAAATTTAGGACAACAATAACGTCGCCTAATTGAAATTTATAATTTGTTTTTTGTAGTACCGAATTATAATTATTCCATACTCATTTTTATTTTTTTAATATGTTTATTGAATTGTAATTTGAATTAAGAATACTTTTTTGAATCTGTCAATAGCTTTACGTAATTGCATAATCGAATAAAAGTTTTTGTGAATATCGAATTACAATTATTATTAGCCATTAACATGCCTATTTAAGTCAATTTTGTAGTAGTTTTAAATTAGTTAATCTTTTTTGTTAATTAATTCTCATTTTTTTTATCTCATATATGAAATACATGTATAATTTTTTAAATAAGGATGTATGTATCAATGACTTAAACCTTTCAAGTGTAATTTAAAAAATGCTTTAATGCCGCAAGCTTTTTTTATATTTGAGCTATGACGTTGCAATATGGCGCTGGTTTTTTTGCGCATTTTCATTTGAAATGTACTGTATTTCATGTGATTGGTTCTCTTTTATAAATTATATTGATATTAAGTGAAATAATATTAAGATCGCATTAAAACATCAATATTATGTTGTATCAGTGTTACAAGAACAATAATATTATGTGTAAAATTTGAAATAGAACATTACAATTACATTTTTATTATATTATCTGTATTATTCTATGTATGTTTAAGATTATATTTCGTTTAAACCCCAAGAGCTTCCGTGTGTTGATTTAATTTTAAGATAAATTGTTTAGATTTGATTGTATTGTGCTATGTTGGTGAAAGTAACGTGCTTCCATTTTATAAATTGTGTTTACATTAAATAACAAATTGAACTATTTGTCTTGCCTACATAGGTGCCATAGATATATAACCTATAGATGGATAGTTTAAACAAGTTTGACGGCTAATTGAGAGTCAATTTTCGAAATGAGATTTTGTATTATAAATGACAACACTGAGGGAATTTATTCCAACAAGAGACCTTTTCCCGCCTTACTTTTGTACTTCGAATCTATGAGTTATAAATTTATGGTTAGTGCATATTTCAAAAATGTTATATTCAACGTGAGTTTCCACTGTCAAAATACTTGTATAAAAACGTATTTTCATGAAATCAAAGAAAGCATTCTCATTGAAAAGATAAAGAAAGCAATATGTTTATTGCACAGATGTTTTGTTAGTGAAAATTCACCACTAATGAAAAAATTGAAGTGAGACACTTCTCTGTATTTTTTTTATGTTTATTATTTTTAGTATTAATATGTGAAATGTAAATATTTTTACGTCAATATCAATTAAAGTGCCAGATGATTTGGTTTCGAATATTATGGACAAAATTATTTCTAACCTAAACGAAATTTTTAATCATACAAAACCAGTTTTAGAATAGTTGTAGTACTTCTAAGACAGAAGGTGAGTTTCTTATGGTAAGGTAAATAAAAATCAGAGTAAATATATAAACATTTATTTCCATATAAAAGATTCTTATAGATACAATTTAATCAGTTCGTCACTAACTGCAGATGGATTTAATATTCCCAAGTCCGTAAACAACAGAGTTATATAAGCCGGGGGTGTATAATCCACTAAGGGATGTTCTTTAGATAGATCTTTGCTATTTTTCAAAACACTTGATAAATATTTGAATTCATTTGGCAAGTCGAGTTGGTTAAGAGGATATGTTCTGGAGAATTTGAAGCTTTCAGTTAAAACATGGACCGGTTTCTTCAGTTCTAAAGCTGACATTGCTATACTGTATGTACCAATCTGAAAAAAAAAACATTCTTGTAAGACCCATTCCACTAGTAGGTACCCATCCACTCCTACACTCTTTTTAAATGAATATTACCACTAGCGCGACCGAGACTTCCATCATCAACAACAACCTGTATTTTCCCTACAGAGGCTCATCACAGTTTCTTAATTCATTCCCATCTTACGCATATCCTTTTTCATACAATACATTCATATTTTTTTCAGTTCAAATGGACCGGGGCGACCAAAACAGTTATATACAATGACATCCCCAACCATACAACTAGCTTCTAAGGTAACAGGTAAAAATAGCATTGTCACAATAGTTTCTAGGCACTTAGAGGAAAAAAAGTCTAATGAACAAGTTTTAGTAATACCTTATTGATAATGCCACCACTCTCGGTGACACCCTCGGCTCCCAGCATGACAATGTCAACTTGCTCCATGATGTAACCAACAGCTGCATCTAAGATAAGAGTTGCATCCACACCACCAGCAACTAGCTGTTTGTGCATTAACACTCTGAAGGTAAGACAAGGTAAGTTTTAAAATACAGTCAAACTTAGATAGCAGAGGGTTCAAGGCACCGGTATATTTGTCTTGCATATAGTAGTTTTCCACTTATGAAGGTTGTCTGTAGGGACCAGGCAATAATTCTCACTTATAACTGGCTGAATATGATCACAATTGTAAGTACAACCTTACAATTGTTGTGTATAGTATAAATGAAAAACAAACCAAACTCTTAAGTCTCAAGCCTTAGTCAAAAATTTTAAGTTTTTAACTTAAAATATTGATGAACACCCATTATTCTGTATAAAATATGTATTATCTAAAGCTAAAAAGTAAATCACTCATCATAATTGTAGTGTCAACTCCTGATTTATACACTACTACTAGAACTATCTGTTACTTACCCGCTATTATCAGGACCAGACATTGTGACATAAACATGAAATCTTTTATTAGCTTTAGCAGCCTCCAACATGGCTTGTAGAACTACTCTTGATCTGGAATGTGTTAGAATTTTCTGAAAAATATAGAAGTTTAAAATTTAATAGTTAACGGGTTCTATTTCAGTGAAAATGTTAAAATATCTTAAGAGAATATAAAACCTTTTTTCCTTAAAGAAAATGATACTTACACAGCCATCATTAATGAAAGGTAAAGCTTGTTTGGCCACTTTCCCTCTTGCTTCAAGTAATGTTCTCAAAAATATGTGTCCTCTTTGTAACATGATTTGCTCACATTCTTCAAATGACTGTAAAAATAAATATTTTCTTCACAGAAAGAGAGGATGACATTAAAAAAACTGTTGGGAAAAAAATGCATATAAAATATCCAAGTTTCTAAAATAAATGAAGAGGGAGATTATAGTTGTATCATTAAATTACCAGATATATATTATACAGTTAACCTCATATCTAAATATATCAGAGCAAATTATATGAGAATCATGTATTTTGGCTACTGACCTTGACATCAAGTTTGGCAAATGTGATGAACCTCATGAAGAGTTCACAACCAGAGGAGATGGCTGCCACGGGCTGGTCGCAGTGCCTCATTGCATCTACTGCCAGCTGCAGGTTGAGATCTAACTCTCTTACAGTTGCCACTGGTAACAATAAAAGATAGACAAGTCTTATAGTAATTGTAATACAACTTTATAATTTATTTATATAATCTAATTTTTGAAACATCCTGTCAATAGCTAAGGACTATAAATTTTTTTAAATCTTAAATAAAGCTTACCAAACTAATTTGCCACTCACAACTACACCTTAAGAAGTAATTTAAATTCACCTCAACATGCTAACCTTTATAGTTCTCTATTACTGTGAGTAATGTTCTTATTGCTGCAACACCCGCTGAAACATCCTCTTCTTCTCTAAGAATTTTTAGGAAAATTTCTTGAACTTCTAAAAGAAAACATTTAAGAAACATGTAAGTAGGGCAATTGTCTAATTCTAAAATCCTTGATACTTATTCGTCGATTAACCTCACCTTCCTTTTTCATGATTTAAGGAATATTTAATTTTACTCGTAATATTTCAATGTAATGTTTGAATAAGAATTCAGCATGAATTGTTTTTAATAGAAAAATAACCTAACTCGCTGACATCTGACATTGACTTTTTGAAATATTGACATCTTTCTTTTTGTGAATGTCAAAAGTTTTTGTGTTTAAAAATTAATAATGTTTTGTTTTATAATGTAATGTAAAGTATATAACTTCTTTTTAATGTTCAATTCAATTTGTAAGATTTATGAATCATTAAACATATTGTCGGAGATTAAAAAATAATAAGATAAAAACATATAGTGTCTGAGATTAATGCGGTCCAAGAGTTAACAAAATGCGTAGACTATTAATAAACGCACAAATTTAACAAATGATAACTGTAGAATTTAACGAAATCTTATCAGGCGCCATTTATTGTGTATTAGAAAAAAATCACTTATGCATAACTTCTACCCTATCCATCCATACCGACATAAATGTGAATTAAGATAAAACTACCTTCAGTAATTATATATTTTACTATTAAGTTTTCATTGTTACATTGAGTTTATGTTGCATTATTTAAGTAGTATGGCGCAAAAACTACCGCTGTTGAATAGGGAAAGTCATGGTCAAATGCAATTGTGGTTTACCTGCGCGTTGATTAAAGTCTGACGGATATTCGAATGGCTAAGACGTGTTACTAAGTTTTAAAGAGTGCTTATCTTCTTTAATATCATTCGTGGATCTTGTGTTTACAAATACGCTGCGATTACAAACTAACATGGGCAACTCCGCCTCCCTTAAGCTTAACGATAAAAGGAAGTGGCAGTAAGTTTTTCTTTCGTAAATATTGTCTTTTACATTTTATTTAAAAAATTGTTTTACCTTCCTTTTTCTACCTCTTGTAATTCCGTGTACACAAACCTTATTTTGGTTCATACCTTCAGTCTGTAAATATTCTGCATTTGTAATTAGGAATTCCATGCACAAAAAGGGCGCTTTTTCTTGCAATATTTTTATAACGAACAAAGCGTCAAAAAACTACGGAATTTAATAAAGCGAAAAAATAAGCTGTCCAGTTCAATATTAAATACGGTAGACTAAACAGTATATTTAGTTAAAAAAATGATTATTATTGCTTAATGATATTTAAGTGTATTAATCTACAAATCCTACTTAGGTTTTAGTTTTTTTGTGCTTATAAAAAATTTTACGGTTTTTTACGACTACGTAACCTTAGATATGGTAACGGCGGAAATGGTAGCATTCGAGAAACAATCGTTCTTATAACAAAACAAACAAGACATGACGGTTTCAAATGAGGAGCATCGTTTTACGTAATTTATACTTTATTTATGTCAGATGTTCCATTACACAGGTTATGTAGAACGATTAGTATAAGCGTAATTTTTTTTATATATTTATAACGATAAGTTTACGTTTTATATCGTAACATATTACAGAAATATTTTAAAAAGTCTGTAGTTCTTAATGCACAGAAATATGTTTGTTTTAAGTGATTTTAAGAACAAACAAAAGTGTAATAGTAATTTTATATCCATAGACTACTCCACTAAAGGTCTTTGCCTTTTTTTTATTTGAAACCTTCATTAGTTTTTAAACCAACTTGTTTAAAGTTTAGTTGAACTTTAACGGTGATTGATTTGATTTTATCAATGTCATTTAAGAGTATTAAGATCAAGGTATTGGTTTTTACTATTTAATGAGTCAAAGATATAAAAATAAGTTAACGTTCACTAGACCATAAACAAATAGTTACGAAAATCATTCCTATTCACGATTTTATTCGCTCACTTTTTGGTTAAATAATTCCTGTTTAACTATATTGTAGTTGTCATAGAAACATATAAAATACACTGATTACGTTGTACGTAATATGTAAATAGGGATTTGCATTTTGTATGTTGGTCATTCGCATAATATGCTTGCTGTTTACTTCTTTTTGTAACTACGTTATACGTGATTTTGTAAGTAATATTAGTATCTACTAATTGCATGATTAAAGATATATAAATTCTAAACATTTAACCGTGGGTTTCAGAGACCAAAATTCCGTATTTAAACGTCTATCTCTGTCTTGTCAAAAATCATGACCGGGGTGACGGTATGTTTTATAAAGAGATTTTGGTCTAAGAAATCCATGGTTGATCACAAGTTACCAATATTTTTCGTACTACCAATGCGATTGAATTAGGCAATCTGGAAATATTCTTAGAATTACTTTTATGCATTTCTAAGCCAAGGCTTACTCGGTCTAATAACCTGTCAAACAATGTGCGATTCGTGAAGCGTAAATTAAAAAAAATATAAGCTTCATTATTTTGTACTCAGAGATGACTTAAATAACGCATAGTATGTAGTGACTTAGTTTAGAGCAGTAGAACTTTTCAGCTTTAAATTGGCCTTTATTACTTACTAAATTGGAGGACGGTTAGACGTTTGTTGTGTTTAAATAAACAGACCATAGACATCGTATGTCTTTTTTACGTGACCAATGTATTCTTTTTTTATTTTAAAATTGTATAAAAAATTATTATAAGCAAAATAGGTGACGGGTAAACCGCCGCCATTTTGAAAACAGCGATCGTTAAAATATTATAAAGAAAAGTTTTTTTTTATTGTGTATGTATTGGATGCTGACATTTTATCAGGTGGACTGTGGTCTCGTTACATTTATATTAATTAGTAATAAGCCGAGATAGTTGCGAATGCGATGCCCTTGACCTGATCTTGGCCGTGCGCTCAAGGCATGCGAGCGTCGTGCAAGCATGATCCGTAGCGGTCATCTGACAACTGGAATACAATATATAGATCAATTAGCCTTTTACTGCCGTACTCAGATTTGTTAAGTGGTCTCAGAAATCTAATTTTAGTGATCAAATGAATGCAGCAGTTAATGTGACTACATTGTTAAATAACAACTAAAAATTAACTGTCTTAATCATGAGTGTCCGATGTTGAATCACTGAAAAAACATATTGTTCATCCCTTATATACTCTTCGGGAAAAAAGAGACAGCAATATTCTTTTTGGACGTTACTTTTGGCAGTGTATCCACACCTTAACTTTATTGTACAAGGCAGTTGCAGTTCAAAGCATTGTTTCACAACACGTGTTTCTCAATAACACATAAAAACGGAAGCTTAATGTTTTTTTGCAATAACTGAAAAAGGTAAATGTCGGTTAATTTCCACAGTAAAATGGCGTAACCTATGATAACGATGATAACCATAACTAAGTAACGTGGTAACGTTTTGATAAATGTTAAATAGCTGTTTATATGTGCAGAGAATAAAATTGTACCAGAGGAAAGGGGCCACAGGGCTTATGATGGTAATAAAAAAAACAGCTATCAATTATAAATTTCTATTGGGATTAATTTTAGATAGCCTGTGATCTTTTAGACTATGTTCGATATCTACATCTAAACTTCTCGCATTTATAATATTAGTAAGATACTCATAAATTCATGTGTTTTGTCTTTGAAAGTTTTATCAAATTATCATCACATATGTCTCCAATGAGTGGCTCGGAGCCTATCCTAAGTTAGATCTACGCCATAGTCAACCACGCTGGCCCAGTGCGGTTCCACTTCACCTATATCTTTGAATTATGTGTGTAATAATTTATTGAGTATAATAAACATTGTTTTGACGTGCATTTAATTTATAACTTGTTAATTACTTACAAAGACATGATTCGAGCGCTTAGTGATAAGCGGTAGAATCATGTATTTAGCGTGATCGCTGTAAATCAAATCTTCAGTCGTTTTAACGAGTTCGTTTGAGCTCTATAATAATAGACTCTAGTAATATTACCTAAAAATTTATTTTCAAAATTACCAAGTTGTAATGTTTTAAAAATCAAAAGTGCAATAATTAAATTAGAAACTTTTTTCTATTCTGTGATATTGGATCTCTTTTCAAATTAGATTTTTTAAAAATGGAATTTGTCAACCGTAAAGTCAAATCGGTCGCCAAAATTGACGTGTGTCAAATGAATGGCGCGGACCGTTCTTACAAAATTAAGAGGTAAGAAAATTTTAATAAAATAACACAATGATTTTCTCATATATTGCATTGAAGACTGGCTATCCATTTAGATAAAAAAAACGTGTTTTTGTATGCTGTTAATATCTTGTACATAATTTATAAAAACGTTAATAAACTTTCTTTTTAATTAATTTGAAAAACTACTTTGGTGTAATGGTAACGGTGTGCTTAAAATTTAAGAAGGTATGTGTTAGTGGTCAAAAATATTTTTTAAGCATAAACTAGCAGATAAATTAATAAACAAACAACAAACTCCCAAATCGAGTTTAAGTATTAAGATTACCAAATGCAAAATATCAACTGCAACACTTGGTCTAAACCTGAGTCTCTCTGTTACATAACAAATTTTATTTCTCCCCTAAATCATAGATAGATGTGATAACTTTAATTCACAACTTTTAATTTATTTACCTGTTTATCTATATAACAATATAATATAACAAAATGTAGCAAACTGATTCGATAACTAATTGAACGTAACGCTGTGGCAAACGAGCGAGCGGCCACCTGAAGTAGCTGATATATCGAAGTTACCGTTGCCCATAGACATACGCAATTGCATATGCGTTGTCTACCTGTAAACAATAACGATTTAAACGATAATCATTTATTGTCAATAATTATTGTTCCCAGTGGTTTCGCAATTTTTTCTGGACACCGTTTGGGCGGGAAGACAAGAAGTCAGTCCGCTTAAGTGGTTTGTTATTTATTTTGATTAGAATTCGAAGTCTTTTGTATAACATTTTCCAATAAGGAAGTATTCGTAAATTGGTTGTCGGTAGTTAGTGAAGGTTGTTTGTAGATTTAGTTTAGATTTTAAAGTAATGAGAATTGTCACTGAGGAACTTCTTAAGTGAGCGTTAAACGAATATATTAACAATATAAATAATAGTGAAATTCCTGATTAAATTGTCCCTTTAATAATTTTGCCGCAATTTAACTGGCTTGTGATTCGATTAAAGTAGATATTCGTTCATAACAGATGCATTTTTCTTTGGATTTTATATTGAATAAATATTATAATGTAATTTAAAATCAATGCATAGTCGGGGTCACACACTAGTGTATGTAGTATGCGAATTTTGCGGTTGATAAAACGTTCCTACATGTGGTCTGATAACGCGTTCTGAATCACATGTTAGGTCAGATGTCACCGAACTTTTCTTATCGTGTTGTTTTTTTTTTCAAATTACATAATGTACGATAACACGTGATTACGAGACTATCTTATTATCTAACACTAGTAGCACACGGCTTCGATTTTATTAAAAAAAGGATCAAAGGATGTCTATGTAAGTACGATACTGTGTTGATTTATCATAGATTCCGTTCCGATTCTTCCTGTACTTTTTTTCACTTGATGGGCAAAAAAATCTATTTTCCTGTTACATTTGGATTTGATTGTATGGTGAATGACGTCATCGTAAATTTGTGAGTTCCCATCCGCATGACGTGCATAACTTATAACTCGCAGTTTTTGATTCCGCTAACATTAGCAATAATCAATAAAACGTATGTACAATTTATATCTATGTACTTGAAATGTTATTGCAAAATCACGACACAACTAAAATTAATAATTATTTATTTTTTATATATTATTGATTAAGTTATACGTTAATTTCTTGTTTTTTATCTATAATACGTTACGTTTTCTTTCTACATTTGTCTTCTAGTAGAAATGTTTGAGAATGGAACACACTAGACGGTAAAGTTACCGTTGGTATTTAAAATAAAAATCTCTGTATAAAACGTATCGTCATCCCTGTCTTTCATTTTTGACAAAATGAAATAACAATATGTTTTAAACAGAGATTTTGGTCTCGGAAACTCTCGGTTGATAAAGCTATGTCTAATCTAAACGCAGTCTTCATGCTGGAGACATTAGGAAGTGGGCAATAAATTGCCAAATGTTTGCGTTGATACATATTTTTAGCTCGATAACACATTGTCACGTTTACTAGAGTGAGTCATTTACGATGTTAAAATGGATATTTTGATTCAACCACTTAAAAGGCGTAAAGGCGTTAATTTGTTACTTTGGTTGGGAATACCATGACCTTGTTAAATACCATTGTTTAGTCAAAAGTAAATTTTTTCCTTGCATTGATTCAGGAATCCTCAATAAAAAAATCTAGGATTGAATTTCTTGTAAGTATAGTAAAACTTGTAGAACGTTACTGTTGAAATTCAAGTAGCTGAAAATCTAAAAATAACGCTAGATGGCGCGACTAGCTTGCATAGATGTTGATGTAGGTTTTAAATCGACTAACTACAAACAAAATATAAAACGTATTGGAACAAAGAAAAATCACTTAACTATTAATATTTCAGATAAATTGATTGTGCGACTATTACATTCATTTATCATAAAACTAGATAACAGCACCGCATATTGGCACAGATTTTCATGACAAGAGTACATCGACCTAACGCCATCTGTTATCAAGTTGTGCAAACCGCAAGCGTGTTTCGTATCAATTCAGCGGCTGAAAAATTTTCCTGTTGTTCCCAGGAGCGAGACCGCGATGAGTCCAGCGCCCCCCTCGCTGCAAAACAAAAGCAGCACGCTGCAAGCCGACGGCAGGCAGTCGACCGCGACTATTGGAAGCAAGTGTACGCATAGCGAAATGGAGCGCGATCGTATCGGAGTATGGGGCTGCGGGGACGGCCAGTCTACCGGCAAAGTCTCCGGTCTAGACCGGCTCAAACATCCCGGTCTCAACAAGGTAACACACACAGCGACAAATATTATTGATTTATTTTCACACATAATTCGCTCGGGTCGTTCGTTATGTGGCTGTTTTACAGTAATTTGAATCAGCTGATTGTTTCAAACGTTGGCCAATACGTTTGGTCCAACGTTGATTATGAAAATATTTGTTTTGAATTGAATTTGCGTTGAACGCCAACGTTCGTTGCAATGTCAACATTTCCATTCGCCTTGTTTATAAAGGTTAGGTTATGTAGTTTAAAAATAGCCTCCATTTATGTTTAAAATTATTGCAAACAATTTATATCAGTAACTGTTGTAATTCATGTTGAGTTACAACAGTATTTTTATTACCTTATAAAAACAGGTGATAATTACTTTCTTTAATTGCTTTTACTTTGCATTTGATATATTTTAATTGCAAACGCGTGTTATACTTTACCTAAAATACTAAGTATATACAAGTGTTATATAAATCTCAAAGAGGGTCGAACGGTTTAAAACAAAGGAGAAAATGTACCTTTGAAGGGTGCTCTGAGCTCTACAAAAATCACGCTCCACCGCCCAGAAGGGCGCAGGCAGCAGGAGCTTAGGGTCCCAATTCACTAGCTCGCATCAAATATAACACGGTCTTTTTCACCGACTTCAAAAAGAAAGAGGTTATAAATTCTCTAAGTCTGCATTTTTTGGAATAATCTACTTATTGCATTTCTACTGCCTAGAATGTACATTCCTATAGAAAAGCATTTTTTTTCGTACGTACACTTCACCATGGATTTACTTTTTATCTCGAATCGTCTATTGAAAAAAAACCACATGATAATATTTTTGTATATTTGTCAGTGAAAACTCAGGGTTATAATTTTTCTTGTCATTCAATAGCATAGCAACTGATTACAATTCTTCGAATAGCAATTGTAAATGTCAGTTTACATAGCCAATCATTACTGCGGTGAACTTACACTCGGCTCAACTCATGTTTCTGTTTATATATGTATATTACTTTGCTGTAGTTTCTCTGTTTTATAGACATGCAGAAAATTACGCTATATGTTTAATTGGTACTGTACTTAATGTAAATATTTTCATAGCAAATAACTCAAATGAATTACTATACCAATGATTTTTAATATTTTCTCAATATTAATAAGCTACTTAAGTAATTGATTTTAATGTTACCCGTACTCTAACTAAACCGATATACCGTCGGTTTCTGGCACATAAATTCACGTTTAGAACATATTGTTATCTCTGTTTTGTCAAAGATAATGACAGGGATGACGATATGTTTTATACAGAGATCTTGGTCTCGGAAACTAAACTCTACAAAAATCTTTCTCTTACTGTAGTTAATAACAAATTGGTGGCCAATTACAACCTTGGCTGGCTTTACCCATTGCTTACTTGGTTGGTTGGTAATCATGTCAGTGTTCTACCGCGATTAACAGATTACTAAATCTTACTGCGTCACTCTAGCCTGGGTATTTCTGTCGCAACAAATTTAAATGGTTTCCATCCTTTAACTTACATAAGTTTACTACGCATTTTTGCTCTTTCCTCGTAGACTTTGCTACTTCCTTTATCCGAAAATGTCTCGTAACTTTAAGTAAAATCAAAACTAATATTATAAAGAGGAACGATTAAACAGTCTGTTAGTCCAATAGGTTGCGAAACTAATACACTTATTTGATAAAATTCTTTCACTGTTGTTAAGCTATAATATCTCCGGATGATACAGCTGGACGGCTTTATTTATTACCAGTCTTTTAATTACCTTGGGACAATGTCGCAGACAACTGCTAGTCATAGCTACAAAAGTCTTGTGTTCATACTTTTGTATTTGGAAGTCTTTCATTTTACTAGAAATTAAATATAGTGGTTAGATAGTGTTCTTCATTATTATGACAATGTGTATAATATTTAGACGACATTTCGTTATAACATCATAGCCATAGTTTTATACGATATTCAATATTAATAAGGAAATGTTATATAAACATTGTATAGGTCTACGTGGCCGTCATTGTTCCGTGTTTTTAAAATCAAAAGTCTTGTTTTGCATAATAATACGAACCTACACAATTACTGCATTCTTCGATTGGCTTGGTGTATATGGGTAGAAGCGGCTTGTTTACATTGATAACTAAATTTTAACAAACCAACTAACAAAAGTATATATGTTTTATCGTAGGTATATAAATATAGTTATTAGTCGCCGTTTTATTATCCAAATTGAATCTGTTATTGAATGACATCATAGTGTTCTTTAATTTCCAGTTTACTCTAATAAATATATATTTAAATTTTCTAATATATCAAGAACTGGACAAAAGTATCATTAATTTTGAAATTATCTGTCATTTATTTAAAAGAATTATAAATAAAAAAATCCTACGAATTTAGATTTTACAAAAAGAAAATGACTGTAAAAATATTTTTTTTTTACTTTTTATTATTATATGGCTATTATCAACTAGAATTTATTATAGCAATTAGGAAATAGAATGTTCATAATTAAATCGATTACGATTGTAATGGTCATGTTTACTTATCTGATAACAAAAGAAAAAGTTAAAAGTAGAGCGCTGATTTATTTTTTAACAATGAGTAATCATTTTTTTTCTATTCGTCGTATAGTTATAGCGATAATCATTAATAAAATAAAATATGTCGACTTTGCCCGCATGTTATATTAAAAAAAAACAATTATTAATAGCCTATGTGTTCTTTCAGCCTATTTTTTACATCTATGTCATATTTCAGCGAGATCTATTGAGACGTTCGGGAGATATCTTCTAACAAACTACCATCCATACATACAAACATTCGCATTTATAATATTAGTAAGATTGCATAAGTTTGTGTAATATTTTTTTGCTATTGTACGTTAGGAATCACAAAGTTGTCTTATCCTAACATCATCCTAAAATTTATTAATACAAGACTCTGCGAGACAAACTTTGACTTTTAAGGCTGTGAAAACTCTTGTTAAACAACTAACATTTAAGCTTTTGAAATATCAACAGGGCTCAGAAGTTTATTTTGAATTATTTTTTAAATTATTCCAATGTTTTGTAAAAGGTGCCACCGTATAGGTTACCATTGTGAAATAAAGTAAATATAATAAGTAGTGCCTAGTGATTGCTATTGCACTTGTTTTGGTCACGTCGTTCATTTGGTTTTATCTACACCAAGAAAAAGATTCTAAAAAGTCAGTCAATCGGGATTGGATCCTATATCTTTCTATTTGTTAGTAGACTTAGTAATAACTTGATTAAGTTACTGCAATGAAGTAATTGACCGTGAATTATCAATACCAGGTCATTGTTAGCGGGTTAGTAGATCAATCCGCCATCTTTGTTACGTCACACCAAGTCAACGGTAACCGACGACATGCGCTTTCGTAAATACTAACAGCTAAGGACCCATTTTCAATAAGCATTAGTCGTGCGACTGTATGCATGGTTGTCATTTTATAATGACCTGTGAAAATTGTGGCCGCTTTCAGACTGCGTAATAGTCGCCAGATGGAAACAGAACTTAAGACGTAGTGTTACGTAAATACTTAAATAACGGGCTTCTTTGGTATTTCCGTGCACTTGTTATCTAAGATAGACGTGACCAAATCATAAATGTGATTGTTTAAGAAAAAGATCAAGGAAGAAAGAAACAATTGTAGGTGCAATATGCAAATAAAAATAAATTTTTCTGTATACTTTTACTAAAGAGAGGTTTGAAAGTAGAAAGGAAAATATTGGAACCCTTATAGAATCACTTTGTTGTCCGTCCGTCTGTCTGTCAAGAACGTTTTCCTCACAAACGCGTGAAGGTTGTGGAAACTTATATTAATAAAACTTGGCATCGGTTAGTAATCCTCTAACTTGTTTGATATGTAATGTCCTACATAACAACTGACTGGAATCTTTTTATCAGATAGCTGTTACGTTACCATGACGACAGATGTTAGGTGTGGATCGAGTCACGTTAGTTCCGCGGTATTCGCACTTCAGATCGGTGGTAAATGAATACTAGTGACGTCATAAATTATACTGAATTGATCTTTTTTAAAATAATAGCAATTTCAAATAGGTTGAAATTCTTGCTTATCATGTGATCATTTTATATGTTATATCATTGTTTAAATGTTGATTTGTATGTCTTTGTTTGATTTTTTTCTAGTTATTCATTTAAATTGTTGTAAATCTAAAAATTGTCTATTCTTTTGTGTCATACTAAATAGACTAAGTCTCAAGTAAAGTAGTTAATTATTTAATCTACATTTTTTTATATCAAAAGGTGGCAAACGAGCAATCGGCCACCCGAAATCGCTGAAATAGCGAAGTGACTGTTGCCCATAGACATACGCAATCGCATATGCGTTGCCTAACTTTAATCGACGGAGGAGAGGATGCACAGAGAGAAAAATATTTTCCCTTCCCATGCATCCTCTCATTCGGAAAGTCCACTTCCACTTCCCATCCTTTCCTTCTAAGAAAAAGGGTGGGAAGGGAAAGAGGACTAAATTAGGCCTCCGGGACGCACACTCATCAGACGAAACGCGGAATTGCTTCCACTTGACGCCTGTCTTCTGTGTGGTCGTGGTATTTCTCCGGGCGAACCAGGCCATTTCGTGCGAAGATGTTAAAGCGGGCTCTACCACTGTTACCATTTATCTAATTTAGCAATCAGGTACACGTTACGCATGGTCGCACCAACTAATTTATATATCCATTCAAGTGTTTTATCAATATTAATATTATCTGTCTGTGTAGTTATAAAATAAAATACGAAAACATTAATAATAATCATGGTAGTTAAGACACGGATAATCGTATCCTATTTGTCAAGTAACGCGAAGTAATACTTTGTCAGAAATTAATTCTCGTCTCAACCCTTAGGGATCTGACACCCGTTTAACTTCGCTATTAATCTGCAATTTGTTAGATTATTACGAGGAATTAATTGGCCACATTTAGATATATTATTATCAATGATATACCCATTTCAATACATTTGTGAAATGCCTTTTAAGGGTTCCGTACCTCGAAAGGAAAAAAACGGAACCCTTATAGGATCAGTTTATTGTCCGTCCGTCTGTCTGTCAAGATCCTTTTTCTCAAAAACGCGTATCAAGCTAGAATTTATATCAAATACTAAGCTCTGCGGTCCCTTGATGCTGTGAAAAATTAAACTTCGAAACCAACGCAATAAAAAGATGTGTGGAAGTGGACTTTCCGGATGAGAGGATGCATGGAAAGGGAAGATATTTTCTTCCTGTGCATCCTCTCCTCCGTCGATTAAAGGTAGGCAACGCATATGCAATTGCGCTTGTCTATGGGCAACAGTCACTTCGCTATTTCAGCGATTTCAGGTGGCCGCTCGCTCGTTTGCCACCTTATGACATAAAAAGAAATACAACCGTTTATTTTGTACTAATGTGTGAACATATAATTATCAAATAGTAATTTGCAAAGTGTGACCTCGCGTCTTGAGATGTAACAGTTTTTTGCAATGTCAATGACTTGCGATTAGTTTTCACGGCTAAAAACATTAATAAAAACAAAGGTCATTTGTCTATGTCCGTGTTCATTTAGTTTGAAGTTTCATTGAAATGTTTAAAAGGATTGACAGTTTAATCATATTTAACTTTCCATTTAAATTCCTATACATTTGTTTATAAGCGAGAATTTATTATCCATATCTTATATATAAAATTCTCGTGTCACAATTTTCGTTCCCATACTCCTTCGAAACGGCTTGACCGATTCTCGTGAAATTTTGTGAGCATATTGAATAGGTCTGAGAATCGGCCAACATCTATTTTTAATCCCGCGCGGACGGAGTCGCGGGCGAAAGCTAGTCATGTAATAAAATACAAAGACTACGATACATATAGATCGAATGACTCCGAGCGAAGTGCGCTTTGCAGAAATTTATGAGACATTTGATTACAGACTTATTTATATATTCCTTTTCACGAGAACAACATCGCCTGTGTTCATTTTCTCTATTTAATTATTAAAATCCCAGTTCGTTTGTGCACAAAGAGTATTTCTTTATTCCTATTAATAACTTAACTTTATTAAAATTGCATAATTAAAAAAACATTGATTCAGATATTGACGAAGTGGTTGTTTTTTTGACTAACTGCGATCGTTTCAGTGACTATATTGGCATATTTAGTTGTGATTAGTTTCGTTTGGTGTTAAATACTTTTTGGTGTTTGTGGTGCATCTGTCTGTGTGTAAGAATGCAGCACGATTGGTGGCAGCTGACGCCGCGGCGAGAGATATGCTCTTTGCCCTGTTGTTTGGCGGCAATTGATTCTCGGGTATGTGGTACTACATATTAAAATGCGGAGTAACCGTTGACCATAATCAGGGCAAGCGAAGACGTACCTATGTCATCTCAAAATGTTTATAGATTTGTAGTACACTTTACTAAACTGATATATAAACACGGCTAAACACTCACGTATATTCGTCCGGTGGCGGCACCGACTAGGTGAGCGACGGGCCGCGTCCGCGAAATAATACCAGCACCACTCATCCTGATGAAGGGCCCCCGATGGGCTCGAAACTAGTCGGTGCCGCCACCGGACGAATATACGTGGGTGTTTAGCCGTGTTGCCAGCCCTTGTAAAGTACTGTTTTTGCTATTCATTAAATACATTAGTACGTGGGTAATAAAATAAGTAACTTATTTTAATTTATAGATGTTTTAAGAATGTTAAATCGAAAAGGTTATAAGATTAGTCACTTAATACGATCGCACTGTTCAAAACAAAATGAAGGGGCTTTGTCTCGCTCGAGTAACCTAAATTGTAAAACGACTCCGACTGATCCCTTTTTATACGAAGTCAGTGAAATTTTGCATATAAAAGATCTCATGAGTTTACTCACAAAATTAAGGCGATTTTATTAACATAGAGACTGAGAGATGAAAGTTGTATTTTATACAATTTGGGGGTTATATGACTTGTAATAAACCAAATAAATTTTGCAATCGACAGAAAGAAATTAGTTTAATGTTGGTACCGTATTTCGGTAAATATTTTCTTAGCGTTGAAGCATAATTCAAGGGCCAAGCGCTCTAACAGCCATACACGGACTGCTTCAAGATTTTTTTCGGCTGCATTTTTATCGACGACATTTTGAAGCTGTGCGTGTATGGATGCTTTAAAATATAGGCGGAGATAAAGTGCCCAATAGAGTATTACTACTCTTACAGTGTTTTAGGCCTATCTTAAACATCTAGCCACTAGAATAACACTGGAATTACCTAAAGTAAAACCTTATAGTCAAATTACCCGGAGTACATTGTGTTACGCAATATAATTTTAAATTTCCATTCTTACTCATCACTAAATATAGTGCTGCGTTTGTATCGGAGTAAATAGCCTCACGAAGATCGATTAAACACATTCCCAGGGCGTATTTCACTTCGAGACAGTCCGGTTCAATAAATGTGACGTCACAAAACGGTAAACAAGTGCGAATCAAAACAAATACGTGGAAATTTTCGATATTATATAGGTTTTGCGAAAAATATGTTTACTATAAATGTATTAATATTATCGCTTACGTTATTTTCTACAATTTTTTACTAACTAACTTGTAATTTTGTTATACGAATGTATTTTATTTTTAAACTAAAATTTTTGATGATATTAAAATATTTCTTATGTTAAAATTATCAAACTATCATTTTTAAACACAATAATACAACTAATTTCTTTACATTTCAATGATGATGCAATAAAAGGAATATTAAACATGTATACATTGTTATATAAACTCATATTTTATGTCTAACAATGAATTACGTAAATGATTTAGTTCAACACTGCTTGCTTGAGGTAAAACCACGCTATTTACATATCTAACCACACATGTCCTTAAACTGTTCATAATATCAGGAAGTTCACATTAATTGGGAACAGATCAACAAATTGTAGAAACAAATGTATCAAAAAAACAGTACTTAACGTCAGCAAGATTTTTAAGGGATTGGAACAAGTTGCCAGTCTCTGTTTTTCCGTCCAAATATGATGTTGGGACCTTCAAAAGTAGAGTGAATAGGCACTTACTAAGCTAGCGCTTACCATCTTTTGGCCAAAACTCCACTAACACCAGGTGGGATCGTGGTCAAGCGCTGGCTTATCAAACTTAAAAAAAAATTGTGTAAAAGATTTAAATAAAGAAATAAAGTGTGTATGTACTCCTTGTAAAAAATAAACGCAATTGTTCCAGGGCTTGGCGTTTACTATTGAGGAGCGTCAGGCGCTAGGCATCCACGGGCTGCTGCCGGCCAGGGTCAAGAGCCAGGAGGAGCAAGTGCAGCTGTGCAAGCTCTCCATCGAGCGATATGAGGATCCTCTCAACAAATACATCTACCTTATGGGCTTACTTGTAAGTTGACAAACTAACTTATACGTTAAACACTTTGTAGATTTTATTACTAAATCTTATCTATTGATTTCCATCCGTAGTGACTAATCGTTTACGGAAACTATTATTTTAATCTTCAGATTTACTTAAAAAGTTTTAGGTTATGTTCTTAATCAAAGTTTCAGTTTAGCTTATGGAAAGAGGATTATAAAATAAAGCGTGTTGTTAATATTGACATTTATACGGTTTTTAATATCTTTTTTGATAAGTTGTATATCTTTACAATGTAATATTGTGTTGTCATGTGATTGTAAACGTGTGTTACAATTAATAATGTATCGTTATATGATCTCGTTCAAACATCCTGTATAACGAGGCTGCAGCCTCTGTCAATGCTACCACACCCTGCTTTGTGCAATAGCCGCGGAATTATATTACTTACGGCTATATCTTGAAACTCGGTCAAATTACAACCTTAATACAAATCATACGTCTATTTTATGCTTCGATTTTAAAGTTGTTGTTAATAATATTTTATTGTGTACTATACTAGCTATCGCTATGAATTAAAAACATACTTAATAAGTAACCTATGTGTTCTTCCTTGTGTTGTGACTATGTTTTACATCTATGTTAAATTTCAGCGAGATCCATGCTACCATCCGGAGATACCTCCAAAAAACATCCATCTAAACATTCGCATTTATAATATTAGGAAGATTACTTTACGAGATATTTAAATTACAAGTCGAGATTTTCATTTCTGTTAATGTAATTTTCTAAAATTACTCTTTTGTTGCACTAAAATACAAAGATCTTAAATAATTAATATTTGTGTGTATTAGGATCGTAATGAGCACTTATTCTACCGCTTCATCGGCGAGAATGTGGCGGACTTGATGCCCATAGTGTACACGCCGACAGTGGGCCTGGCCTGTCAGAAGTACGGCCTCGTGTACCGCCGTCCGCGTGGACTCTTCATCACGATACACGACAAGGGTCACGTCTACGATATACTACAGAACTGGTGAGTTACACTTCTTTCAACCTGTAACCTCTTTCAAATATCAGTGATAATGTCTCTTTACCTTTGTTTTTTCTTTATGTTTGTGTCAAATTTATAGCAATGGAAATGAAGTCATTTGTTAATTCGAAGCAGACCAAATGGAAGAGCAGAATTGTATTTTAGACACATTCACTATTTTATAATAGAGATCCATACTTAGCATGTTTTATTAAAGTACTCGTATTATAGAAATTATCTCAGTAAACTTTTAGATTTTGTTTTATGTATAACTAGTGTCGCCCGCGACTCGAACTTACTAACCCGAAACTTCCAGACTATGTTCTACATCTATGCCAAATTTCAGCGAGATCCATACAGCCGTTCTGAAGATACCTTCAAATATCTATCCATCTAAACATTCGCATTTATAATATTAGTAAGATCTTTTGTGGTATTACACTTATGTGTTCCCTTTTAGGATATCAATGCATACGGAAGTAAACTGTCTGATTTTAAATGTAGCTACATATCTCAGTTCTTGCTTGTGTGACTTATACCCTTGTAATCAGACAAGCGTATAATAAGTTTTATAATACATAGAAGCAGATCACCTCGCACGCCGCGCGCCCCCGGCGTTTGTCTTGGCCTGGTACTGCCGGCTGACCTCAAATACTTTATGATTTAGTATCTATATAAATATAAGTTTCAGTTTTAAATGTACTACCTAATATAGTACAAATAATAAGGTAACTAGTCGCCTAGCTACCTTTAATATCGTGTAGGAAGTTTGAGTTGCATTTAATTTTTTACCCATTGCCTAACATCTATAGCTTTTGGCAAATGATTTGGAGAAAATTTATATATAAATAATTTATGTCTCACGTCAAGTTTTAGTCGTAAGTCCTGCTCTTTCTATTCAATAAACAGAACAAGGAATTCGTTGTACTGTCAAGAGAATTAAAAAAAAATAGCAACTGAAATTCGTACGATGATGTCAAACTGAAATCATTATCTATCTAATTGATTAGTCCCCAAACAAATGACGCTGTGACTGCGTGACTTCCTCTTGAATTACTTTTGTTGGTGTCAGCAAGATTAGTCATAAGGTCACATTATTGACTAGCATGTTTAATGACTATACTAGTCAACCTTGACTAAACATTGGATTGTTCAACTCAATAAAATTACGAAGCAATTTAATACATCAGGAAAATGACGAATTTATATTTTTAAATTCGCATGTTCACTAATAGAGTTGCACTATCAATAGAGATTTTTCTTGATGTCACATTTGGTCCAGCTTTTTGGATGTCGGAATTTTTACTTAACTATTGAAATAGAACCCAGCGTTTGAGTTGGATGGTCAGCAAAATAGTACTCTTGTTTTCTACGTGCCAAGTCAAATGTTACATGGTATTTTGTGTTATCTCCCGACTAATAACGCTCAAAGGGATGTCATTTTAAATTTTTTGTACTTAGTACTACTGTTGATTAGAATGATAACATTTGAAGGCCCGAGACGGACGTGCGCGCTATCGTGGTGACGGACGGGGAGCGTATCCTGGGTCTGGGCGACCTGGGCGCGTGCGGTATGGGCATCCCTGTGGGCAAGCTGGCGCTCTACACCGCGCTCGCCGGCATCAAGCCCCACCAGTGTCTGCCCATCACTATTGGTAAGTTACCTAGCACTGGAGGACTGGTATTTTGAAACTGAGAAACATCATCATTCCAAAAGTGTTATCTTGGAATCTTCTTTGTCATACTCCCAATTTATTTAAGGCTATTTACATGTCTAAAATCTTGATGATATTTCATTTTAACCTAGATAAACATAGGGTTCACCGCTTTTAAATAACTAAAATTTGTTCTAGACGTGGGAACAAACAACGAGACGATGCTGAACGACCCGCTGTACATCGGTCTGCGGCAGCGTCGTGTGCGCGGTGCAGCATACGATGAGCTGATCGAGGAGTTCATGCAGGCGGTGGTGCGTCGCTTCGGACAGAACTGTCTCGTGCAGTTCGAGGACTTCGGCAACGCTAACGCCTTCAGGCTGCTGGAGAAGTACCGCGGCAGGTCAGATACCATACAGCCGGTTTAGCGAGATATATAAACGCCCTCTTTTTACCATTTTTAGGAGGGGGGATGTTAAAGGGTTACATGAAAGTGGCAAAGACTTGTGAAGCCCCTTTCTGCCCAATCGCGACTCATTCTAAAGCCAGTCTTGTTGCATTAGTATACCTTGTCTTCTTGACATCGTTCTTTAAATTAACCTAACAAAGATTTTCGGGTCTTTGATCATATCTTAAAGCACTTTTGTGTTACTCAATTCTCACGTCACTTGGTATTCAAAGTAGTTGTGTGTTTGTGTGTCAGGTACTGCACATTCAACGACGACATCCAGGGCACTGCTGCGGTGGCGGTGGCTGGTCTGCTCGCCAGTCTGCGGCTCACAGGCAACAAGCTCACTGATAACACCTTCGTCTTCCAGGGTGCTGGAGAGGTTACACATTTTTCTAATTTTCTTAATCGATGTCACAATTAATCTTTATGTAGTATTCTGGAGACTTGAAGTGTAAAGGAGAATTAGCGTAATACTGTAGACCAGGTTCATATCTTTACTAGCGATCGCCAGCGATTTCGTTCGCGTGGAATTAAAAAAAACAATCTATATGTATGCCAAATTTCATTGAGATCCGTTCAATGGTTCCGAAGATACCTTCAAACAAACATCATCATCATCAGCTCACTATACATCCCCACCGAGGGGTTCGGAGCCTACCCTAAGTTAAGGGTGATTAGGCCATAGTCATCCATCCATTTATAATATATATTGACGTATTATAATGTTGTCAGGCATCTCTGGGTATCGCAGAGTTGTGTGTGATGGCCATGAAGGCTGAAGGTGTCTCCGAAGAGGAGGCGAGATCCCGCATCTGGATGGTCGACTCTAAGGTACTACTTTTATAATATCACTAGCTGTTACCTGCGACTCCGTCCGCACGGTATGATTTTTTTTTATTATTAACCTTTGTGTTCTTCCAGACTATGTTCTATGTGTATGCCAAATTTTATTAACATCCATCCATTTAAACATTCGCATTTAAAATATTAGTAAGATTGTATCCTATAAATTATATTTTAATATGTATAAGTTGTATAACTTTGCCTACCTGGTGTGGTGCAGGGTCTGATAGTACGCAACCGTCCCGAGGGTGGACTGAACGAGCACAAGGAGAAGTTCGCGAAGGATTGTCCTCCCATCCGCACCCTGGAGGAGGTGGTGAACACCGCCAAGCCCTCCGTACTCATCGGTTCGTGTAGCTTTGTTATTATTATTCATTACTAGCTCTCGCCCGTAACTCTGCTCGGAATTAAAAAATAAACTTGTTAACTAGCTTGTAGTGTATGCATAAACGTAGTGTTGTTTGTTCCGATCGTACACGCCGGAGAGAGGGGGGGTCAGCCGATGTCAGACCTTTGGACCGGTAGCACGTGTCGGCACGTGAACGAACTAAATATAACGCAGCGAGTGCTACATAGCCTATAATTTTTTCCAGACTTTGTTCTACATCTATGATTCAAGATTTGTTGAGCCGTTCCGGAGATAATTTCTAACAAACATCCATCCATCTAAACTTTTGCATTTATAATATTAGTAAGAAGTACGATTCAAATAGAATTCTTAAAACCATAGTTACAAATGTAAGATTTAAATATATTAAAGAGCGTCGGTGGCTCAGTGGTCAAGCACTTGATTTGCAATCTCCAGGTCCTGGGTTCGAATCCCGCCATGTACTAATCTGTTATTGATTTCCGATTTACATATGTACATTTATCCGACGCTCTTACGGTGGAAAAATACATCGTGATGCACATATCTGAGAAGAAATACAAAGATATGTGTGAAGTCAACCAACTCGCACTTGGCCAGCGTGGTTCTACTATGGTCTAATCACCCTTAACTTAGGATAGGCTCCGAGCCCCTCGGTGGGGACGTATAGTGAGCTGATGATGATGAAAGAGAGTTTTGTGTATCGTGTGTCGTTTAAAATGATATGTAGAAGAGTTGTGTATATATATAATTGTGTGTAAGGTGCGGCTGCAATACGCGGCGCGTTCACTCCGGCGATACTCCGCGCTATGGCGGACAACAACCCTCGCCCCGTCATCTTCGCACTCTCCAACCCCACCAGCAAGGCAGAGTGCACTGCTGAGGAGGCCTACGCCAACACTGATGTATGTCATCATGCCACCATGACACCATGTCTTCTTCTCTTCAACAATATACTGCACCTATACTCATTTTATAATATTACAAATGTTTTCTGAGTTCTAAATTGCTATATGTTTCATAACACAGTCAACATGTGTCAATACACGACACAACTTAAAAGTTTCGACTAATTGTTACTATTAGGTATAGTTCTTTTCAAATATATTAGTGGCTCAAGGTGATGTGCTGTACAGTGACCTTCTCCCGCAACGCTACAACTCATCTAACATTTAGTTTAGCAGCAATTCGCGCGAACTTAAGAGCATTTAAGGCTAAAATAATGAGTCTTGCTTATACGTACTGTTAATAAGAAAATCCGGCACTGTGCCGGTGTACTGGACTTTGTAACGAAAGCACGTCATTCGTGCCAAATGACTAACTTATTATATCTAAAAGTACGCATTTCTAATAGCATTTTGCTACTGAAGTTTACACATTTAGTTATAATTATTATAAAACTAGCTGTCGCCTGCGACTCTGTACGCGCGGAATTAAAAAAAAGCTATTGGTCGCAGCGTTATGTTATAAGCCTAAAGACTTCCTCTATAAATGGACTATCCAACAAAAAAAAAATTTACAAGTGAGTCCAGTAGTTTCTGAGATTATTAGCACGTTTAAACAAACAAACAAACAAACTCTTCCGCTTTACAATATTAGTATAGATATTTTGAGGATTAAGTTAGTAATGTCCGTTCTATAAGAGATTTATTTGAATCTGTAGGAGCGTGCGATCTTCGCGTCAGGTTCTCCATTCCCGGAGTACCGCACGAAGGACGGTCGTGTGCTGAGACCAGGTCAGGGCAACAACTCTTACATCTTCCCCGGACTCGCGCTCGGCATCCTCTGCGCTGGACTTGTTGATGTCTCCGAGGACTTCATGCTGCTCGCTGCTGAGGTAACACACGGCATTCACTCATCTCTATCTATCTACTATTATTTTATAATAACTAGCTGACGCCCGCGACACCGTCTGCTTGAAATATTTTATTTATTTATTGATGAACTGCAGGAACATTTTATTGGCGAAAAATGAAGTAAGCAATGCGCTGTTCTGAACTTAGTTTTTCATTTGTTAAAAATTTCAGCAAGATCTTTCCTGGAGATACCTTCAAACACATCCATCCATCCATACATCCAAACATTCGCATTTAGTAAAATAATCGTACAGGATATAGTCCGAAGCTTCTCTCAAAAAGTCAAAAAGTTCCTTAATGACTTTGAAATTGACATCTGACAAAGAAAATCTTCGTCTAATCATGCATTTTTAATAATTTTGACAAGAGTTAGAAATATTTGTAATAAACAAAAAGTTAATTAATTTTGATTGAAAGATATGTACGTAACGTATGACATGTTCAGGCGCTGGCGGAGATCGTGTCTGAAGATGACCTGGAGCACGGCAGCCTGTACCCGCCCCTCAAGGACATACAGAACTGCTCCGTCAAAATCGCCAAGAAGATTGTTGACCACGCATATGAAACTGGTAATTATAATTAATCGTTTACTTCAAATCCCCAACATTTTTGTCGATAATAAGTATGAAAAATAATATATTGGAAGACCAAATAAGACTTGACAAATTGTCTGAGTTTAAAAATGTAAATATATACCAAAACCAACCAATCTGAAAGACATAACCTTAAAATGTAAAAGATCGTAACTCTTTGACCTCATGTTTGTTGAAATATAAGTGTGATGTTTGTCTGTAGGCAAAGCGCAGGTTCAGCCTCAGCCGCTCGACACGGAGGAGTTCATCCGCGCTCAGATGTACTGCGCCAAGTACCAGCCCGCACTCCCGCCCGTCTACTCCTGGCCCGGCGACACCGCGCCCCGCGTAGACCTCGTCTAGACCTCACACTGCGCCTCACACTGCGCCTCACACCGCGCCTCACACGCCTCACACCGCACCTCACACACATACACAAACAAATCTGTCCGTAGGTTAACTTTTATAAGGTTTTTGATTCTTATAAAATGTAAAGTGAAATGTCATCGATACGTCTTTAATGTATTTTACAATGTTTTATGTGATTTTAATCATTTCTAATTTATATAAGTAAAAGTTTGGAGTAAGATTAATTCTGACACATGTTTGTGTAAGTAAATATAATACTGCGTGTGACAGTACATGAGAAATATTGACTTGCTTTTTCTTACGGTATATTGCTTAGCTTGACTTTGACACAAGATAATCACAAATCGTGGGTTTTCTTTGTCGAATTACTTAAAAATATATTGACATCTCTGTCTAACTCTTTGAAAAACAGAGATAGCAATGTTTTATATGTGTTTTGACAGTTGAATTCTACAATATGTTATATTAATAATTTAATATATTAAAGAGCTGACTGTTTCATACTATATTTAGATTTTCTTAAGTCAGCTGAATGTACGTTTTATAGGTTAGGTTTTGATTATATTCGACAAATGTTACCAACGTACAATTTTTTTCTAAAATTAGGGGAAATCTGTTTGTGATAAATTGTACCTAAAAGTCAGACCTAAAGCATTAATGTTTGAGGTTATTAATTTATTTGCTTTGAAATTTTTGTGTGATATTTGTGTTGACAAGCGTTGTCTTGTACATTCCAAAGTGGTTCAATCGGAATCAACAAATTATTTATGATTTATTACTTTGTTGAAACTCAAATATTTATTGTTTTGTATTATTTTGTAACCAAAAAAGTTGAAAAAAGTAGATTATAACTATCGTAATCAGTACTCAAGTTGTTTTTTTTTGTTAAAACCATAAAATGTAATAATTTCCTGGGTGTATTCAGTGCGGGAGTTTGAAATGTATACAATTCGCTCACGTTCCTTCAAATGTACGATATACGATTTTTTTTCAACTTATAGGTGTATGATATTTATTTGTAAATTTTAAAATAAACTGAAAATTATATAAAATTGGTTTCTTTTTGTTTGTTGCATTTATGATGTCCTGCCTATTTATAGACCGACGAAGATTTTTTATTTATTAACAACAAATAGCTAGGCCTGGTAGAATAACTAGATTATCAGCTCCACTCTGCCATCTGTTGTCAAAGTATCGCAAAGGTAATTTTCGTACTGTAACTGTCATTTTACGCAAATTTTCAATGCTCTGGATTTACACATTCTGACAATACAAACATACGATTTGGGTTTTTAATAAAAACTTCATACATCCGACCGATACAGCCTTTATTACATACATTATTATTTATAAATACAAATTGAGAAGAAATGGTTCACAACAAAATATTCCCTAGCTTAGTTAATTGTCCGTAACGTATATATCACTGCACAGGCGCGGCTGACACGCGGGTAGCACGCGTGTAGCACGCGGGGGCGCACGGGCCGCTCACCGGCTCAGCGAGTGCGAGCGCTCGCGGGAACTCTCGCCGTTGCAGCGCGCGCGGTCATTGCCTGCAACACAACAAACATGTCTCACTACACTGCTTCCTAGTCTGTTTCCACTGCCGAAACACGTGCACAAAAACATGTTTTTTTATTTCATTCTTAACTTAAAATCGTCATAATATATTTCTGTACAAGTATGAAGACAATGGAAACTTACAGTCAACAACATCGCGTATTTAAACATATGCATATTATAATGCTATAATAATTCTAATAAATCTACATTTACACATTGAACGCTACATTTTGAAATTTAAATAATATACAACATCAAAATACAATATCTTTTAAACAAATCTTCCTAATTGAAATCAACATTAAATACAAAAATAAAAACTGAAAAAAATATATTCAAAATAAAAGGTGCAAAACATTCTAATAATTTTAGTATCATTATAAAAATTATTTTAGTTTCGAACAGTTACCAGCATTATTAACAAATTAATTAAAAGAAACGAAAGACAAAAAAGGGCAAAAAATAAACATTTCATAAAAAAAAACTTTTAGCCAGGGTAGAGGCAGGGTGTAAGGGTAGGGGGTAAGGGGAGAGCGGTGTGTCATGTCTCAGTATGTGTTATGATACAAGAAATGCAAAGCGCTGAGAGAAGCGAAACAGACAAGAGCCTGACCTAAGGAACGACGGCCGAGAGAACTGGTGCCCTATAACAAACAACATCAAGTCATCACAACATCACATCATCACATCATCACTGCCCACAATTATATTCACAACAAATAATCGACCGGCACATTTTTTCTCAGGCAATATTTTTAATAAAATTTCTTAATAACATTAATTAATCTGAATAAAATAGAATAGTGTCAAATAATTGACTAAATATGACCTAAACTGAAATGGCTGATTGAATAAATAATTGCACAAAAACAGTTTTTTTATGCAATCTGGTGATTTTTAACAAGCATATCGAACCCGTGGTCTCGTTAGTTTAAACTTTCAAAACTCTAAACTATCATCATTTATTGTTATTTTTGTATATATCTGTATGTTGTCACTATAAGACAAAAGCAATGCAATGATATTACACTGCTGTGGGAAATGCAAAAATATGTGCTTTGTTAGTAAAGCTGAATTCTAACTAAATTGGTTTTGTTCATGTTATATACAAAATCTACAGTAAGTTGACAAACTTATACAATAGTTTCAACATCTTATACTTCTTGAAACGATCAAGATCCTTACAACAGTGCGGGTAACCAAAGGTCGTTTTTTTACCAAGTAATCGATATCATTGAGTCAAAGAGGGCCGAGTATAAGATTTTTTTTAAACAAGACTATTGTTTATCTAATTTCTATAACTAAACTGAAGTATATTATGATATTCAACGCACTATAGTCCCCAAATTTAAACATTTTTAAATTTATTCACATATTAAAAGTACTTATGTAAATCTAAAAACACATTGGTAAATGACGGGATTCGAACCCAGGAGCTTGCAGGAGAAATCAAGTGCTTTAACCCCTGAGCCAGTGACGTTGTACTGCACAAAGAGTGATGTGTGTATGTACAGACCGAGCCTCTGATGATGCGGCAGTTTGGAGAAGAAGGGATGCGCGAGCGCCTCCCGCAGCGTGATGCGCTGCGCCGGCTCGTACTCCAGCATGCGCGCGATCAGCTCGAACAGCTGCCGGTGCTCCTCGTTGTTGCTCTGCATATACCTCTGTGCAACACAAACATACATACATACATTAAACATCTTTTCCACTAAGCGATAAGCCATTTTTCCACTACTGTATCCTGTGTTAATGGAACTCGTGAGAACTTACGAAGAAAGGCCCTTTAGGTCTAAAAACAGTTGATACATATATATAATTAGAGAAAACATAGCATGAGCTATAAAAGTTGTGCAACATTGAAAAGTTAAGAAAGTTATATTTAAAATTATTTTAAAAAAATATAATATATAAGTGACAACAAAAAGTATAACATCAATATCAATCTAAGGAAGAAAAAGATAAAAGCAATCTAGACTTAGACACGGTCGTTGTTACAAAAACATACGACAAATAACATGATGCTGTAAAAAACTGTCATCACATAAAAAGTGTGACATTATAAACACTTTCAAACAGCATTATGTAAGTCAGTCTGCAAACTTCGCTTTCACAAACATTAAAAGTGCTATCTTATTTGCATCAAAAACACTTTAAATCAATTGCGTTTTTCTATACTTTATATATAAAAAAAAAACATTTAAATTCACCAGTTAACTTTTTCTTCTTTTTTAATCTCATTATAATAAGATATTGTTATCTCTGTTAACTTTATAAGGAATAAAAGGGAGGACAATATTGTTGATAATCGTAAGACATGTTAGCTTTAGGAGGTTGGCAGAGAGAGAAATATGAAGGTGATGTGTGTGTGAGTGCGGGTGTATGAACTCACCAGCAAAGGTTTGCAGTTTTCCCGGACGTACCGTCCCGCGGAGGACTTCTCGTCCCAGTCCAGTTTGCCGTGGTAGAAATATTTTGTTCTCGTCTTACGAGCCATTCTGTAACACAACATTCACCTCTTAAAAACCTTACATTCTACTTGAGAAACCTGTCATAGCAATACACATCTTATATAAAAAAATAAATTCGTGTTATTTACACCATTTATAAATCAAGAACTGCTGATTTGGATGAAAATTGTCAGGGAGATAACTTAGAACCAGTAGCGGTCAAAATCTATTTGATCTTAAGGTGTGCTGTTCAATACTGTATCTTAAGTGGTAAGTGAATGTGGCAGAGAGTAGTGGTGTACCTGTAGGGTATGGGTCCGAGGATCCTCTCCATCATGGCGAGGTGCTCGCGGTTGTCGTGAGTCTGGAAGAGTGTGATGCCGAGGTGCAGCTCGAACATGATGCAGCCGATGGACCACACGTCGCACGGCTGCGACCATCCCAGCTCTGCAACACGAAATACACATTATCTTAATAATATAAATACGAATATTTGAGTGTATGGATGAAAGTTTGCTATTAACGTAAAACAGTGAACACTGTAAAGCAGTCCCAAAAAGCCTCCTTCTCACTGGAAATGTATCGAGTAACCATAACAAAAATGGTTATATTTTGGTGCGAGTCAATTTTATTGAAATGCAACCGGGAGGTCAATACATATAAGAAATATAACAATATCGCGATCCAGTGATATGTTCCGCCATCTATTGAGATAATAATATAAACTAAATTGTCATAACATTTGACAAACACATAGGCTACCTATTATTCGGGAAGTGAGTACGTTTGATGTACATATTAACTGGATAATTTCCACAACGGTTCAACACATTTGATTGATATTTGTCACAGATATAGTAGATAGAGGTAGATGTAGCAGAAGCGGCAGTTACCCAGTATGACTTCAGGGGCGCGGTAGTGCCTGGTGGAGACGATGGTGCTGTGGTGCTCGTGGTCGAAGGTGGCGCTGCCGAAGTCTATCAGCCGCACGTCGCTGCGCTTCACTCGCAGCAGGTCATGTGTCTGCACACAACACATATATATTGCATCACTTCAAACATCTCACATTATTGACATTTTTATTTACCACATCATAATATTTGTTCAACACAATTCAAAATGTAAAAACATAACAAAAAAAACCCGACTGACTCAAGCTCTTATAGATGAAACAGCGCCATCTATTGTCCGCGTTATAAAACAAGGATATTAATTTTTTTTAAACAAAATAACTGTAATTTATATTTAACACTTTCTTATTATAAAATATACTCTAGAATTTCTAAAAAAAGATTTGGTAAAGAAAGAAAAAAGTTATGGTGATTGAGATTTGAACTCTGTCTTTTCACTTAATTTTCATAGTTTTATCTTTGACGTCCACTATATCTATTTAGTGTTTTAGACTCTAGGTCGTTACAATGGAACTTACATACATAAAAACTTACATACTTGGGAAAAACAATAGCCTCTATCAGTCGGGTAAAAAACTACTGATTAAGATTTAAACTTATATAGCATTAAAAAGTGTATAGAGGTGTTTTACCTTCTTACTACTATTATATACACTGACGACTTCATAGTCGCTGTCCACAAAGAGAATGTTCTCTGGCTTGAGATCTGTGTGCGTGAGCTTGTTCTCGTGCAGGAACAGCACGCTGTAGATGAGCTGGTAGGAGATGTGTCGCACCTGCTCCAGCGGGTACGGCTGGTAGTTGTTGTCTTTCTGCAACACAACACAATATTAATTTCAATGTATGTATGTATGGATGGATGTTTGTTACAAGCTGTGTCCACAATTGCAGCATGGATCTCGCTGAATTTTGGTATAGACACATAGACTACTAAAGTTTTTTTTAATTGTGCCCGGACTAAGTCACAGGCTAGTAAATGAATAAATGTGAAGAAATACATTTTTCTGTTTGTCTACTCCTCTGTCGATAAAGAAATGCAACAGATCTAAAGTTTTTTTTATCCCATATGGCCAAGAGCAGAGGTTACCTAGTATCAAGTGGTCTGCTTGCTCAATTTTTTTTTACATATAATTCTATATTTCAGCGGATCAGTCTCGATAGCTTTTTCCTATTACAATTCTATGATAATAAAATTATGAAATCAGTATTGGTTAAATAAAAGCTTACCAAAAAGTCAAATACACTTTGTCCCAACATTTCAAATGCGATACACATGTGTCCGTGGTATTCAAACCAATCCAACATTTTTACACACAAACTGAAACAATACATACATTCATGTTAATATTCTTCTTATTTTTTACACATTATATGCTATCATACTAATATTTTACTTCTTACTATCTTACTAATATTATAAATGCGAATGTTTAGATGGATGGATGTTTGAAGGTATCTCCAGAACAGTTGAACGGATCTTGATGAAATTTGATATACATAGAGGACATAGTCTGGAAGACAATATAAAATACTCATTATGTTTCTCTAACAGCTAGAATTATAAAAACGACTTAATAATTTAAAAACTTGTAGCGATATCAGTTATCTAAACTATGACACTTAAACTAAGAATAGATTGTTTAGGTTTGACGAACTTATAATAATATGAAACATTGTGTTATTTAAAAACAATTTTCGCGCAAAGAAGATAGAATATCTGTCGGTAATACTAAAGTAAACAAAAAATAGCATAAAATTTACGTCACTAGACAAACAGATTTCTCAATACGTCGGTACTTTTAGGTGAAAGCACATAGGATGTAAATAATTTAGCTAATCAAGGTCGATTCTAAAACTGTTCACGATATAAAATATTTAGTATTTATAAAGCTAACAGCGCTCGCTGGGACATTGCCGGAGGAGGAGGTGTGGGGGGGGGGGGGC